GACCAACAATTATATGGACAAGACTCACCGAGCAGATTGCCCACAGCAAAGTGGATTGACCCCAGATGCATGGACAACTGTGGATCAGCGTCCGGCAGGTTGTCTGACGCGTGGATGTACATCAACCCGCCGGAGTACCCGATGGCGCCAATGAGGAGATGAGCGAAAAACGAGATGCCTCCCACCACACATGACAGCCGCCCATCTACCCCAGAGCTCTTCTCGTCCTTGACCCGCTTGCAGCCATGACAACACTGCATCGAGTTGTAATCACCGGACCGGTCTCATGTAGACCGGGACTTGTGCTGTCGCTGAGCCCTCTTCGGCTCGACAGTGCTGCGTCGATCGAGGCAAAGCGGAAGGAGGGTCTGCCAACTTTACGTTTGGGTCGCAGACGCTGAGTCGGAATTGGAGGGCCTCAAAGACTGGCTGTCTGCCTGAAACACGACCTCGACGGGGCCTAGAGACGCGAAATGGAACTTCGATGCGGCTTTCGGATGGGCACATGTCCGGACTTAGGTCGGATGACAACGATCGCTATGCTTTCACGCGCTTCTTTCGCCTTTGGGCTTTTTCTGCGTGTCTACCCGAAAGGACAGCCGAGGTTGGAAACACAGACAAACAAGGTCTTTCCGCATCTCGGTTTCTACGTCTGTAGCCTATCTTCATCGACAATTTTTTCGTTATGTGTATGTCTGTGTTTCTGTTTGTGTGAGTGGTTGTGTATATCGAGCTAGCAAGAGCTAACTAACGCCGTCATGCCTTCACTCGATTGGCTTCTGTAGGACAACATTAGTTTCTTGGTTCAGTCTCCAAGTCGGCTAAACACATATTTCCGCATGTATCTGCTTCGAATAGGAGGCCAGTGCACAGACCAATCGGGTTTGGGAGACAAGAAATGACACCTAGTTTCAGACTGGGCCTATTCAGTCGCAGAAGGTTCAGAGTTTGTGTGCGTGTGTAAATGAGACAATAAGACATTTTATTTTACGCAAGTGGGTAGGTTTTCGAGACTACCAGTAATTCAGAGATATGAGTTGTGTTCATCCCATTTCGTTTAAAGTGATGAAGAACTGGTAGTTTACCACAATGATACGAGCATAACTAACGTTATTTTCGTATGAGAGTAGAGTTTCGAGACTACCATTAAATCAGATATATGAGATGTATTCACCCTATTTCGTCTAAGGTGATGAAGGACTGGTATTAGAATTTTCTTACAATGATATGGGTTGAGCTGACGTTTCCATTCAATTTCACATAGCTTTGCTTTCCCAAAAGTTGTTCGACTCCCGCTGAGGGTGTTGATAAGACCGATACGAGGTCGAAACTGCAGTCCACTCCAGCCGGGAT